CACTCAGGTTTTATTTTTTGCAGAAACGAGTTTTCTTAAATAATAGGTTTTTTAAAATTTGCTCTGTTAAATGGGTTTATTTTTTTTCTTGGGGACGCTTACATACATATGTTATATCTTCTCTATTCTCTTGAGTTTTTTTTTTTTATTCTTTTTCCATCATATTTTAGTCCTCACATTTTCTATTACATATACTTAAAGAGATTATCCATGATATCTGTTTATTCTTGGTTTCTTCTAGCTTACTCTTAATTTCCAACACAAATTTTTCTTTTATTTACAATTCCTGAGATGTCTTTTACCTCTCTTTAAAAATTATTTTCTTTTTTACTAATCACTTCATTTATGAACTTTATTCATTCTAATTTTGTGTTTTTCTTTCCCTTTTTGTATGTTTTTCTTTTAGTTCATTTTGAAATGTTATGTTACAGTTTCCATCTGTTTTTTAGGCATGTATTTCTAACATACTCTCATTGTCTGTAAATACATTATCTGCTCAATATTCTGTTTTTTGTTTTTAATAATTACTCCATATGGACATTGACTATAATCATTTTTATTATTCATTTTAAGTGAAATGAATTTTCCTGGTCTTTTAGAAGGGAGATGTGGACCAGGATAGCACTTCTAGTTTCATGGATCTCAAAATTCCATTCGTTATTTTCACAGTGATGGAGAATATATTCTGGCCCCTTGGCTCTACTCATCTCTTTTTAACTAGGCATTCTTATTCCTTCTTCTGTGAGTCTGCCCTGCTCAATTTGGATGCAACTCCCTGTAGTTTCTTCTCAGGGCAGGGCTTCGTCCTAGAAGGGGACTTCAGTTTGTAGTTTTAACAATTCATAGGGGGACCAACAAAAGGTAATGGTCACATAGCCGGACTCCCATGTAGCTGACCATGGCTCAAGTCATGGACCCGGCAGCTTAAAACTCATACTGGGCATGTGTGTGTGCATGCCTAAAATCCTGAGAGAAGACTGGAGAAGGGATTGCAATGTGGCCATCCTCCCTGGGGGCTGATTTCTCACTTTCAGTCTCTCTGTGTCTCTCTGGCAAGCACACACATCCCATAGCAAATATCTTTCTCTCTTGGAACCAGCAGTTGGTGTAATGGCTATGTCGCTGGACTCCCATATAGTCGACCATGGTTTGAGTCCTGGACCCGGTGGCTTGAACTCACATCAGGCGTGCGTGTGTGTGTGCCCAAGATCCTTAAAGGAGAATGGAGGAGAAGGGATTGTGGCGCGGTCATCCCCCCTGGGGAGGGGTGATTTCTCGCTTTCTGTCTCTATCTCTTTCTGTCTTTTTGGCGAGCACATGCACCCTATAGCAAAAACCTCTCCCCCACACACAAAATAAATAAATAAATAAAAAATCTTTCTCTCAATAATAATAAAGAATTCACAGGACCTAGACCTACAAAATGTTGTACCATCAGACCTTGCAGCATTACAGTCTCAGCCATTAATGATCGATTGAGAAGTCCATTCCCAGCTTCTGCTGCTGTTTCTAAATTTTCCAGTGAGAACCTAATGGCAAATTGGATTTCCCTGGCTTTCAAGGTCTTCACAGATTCTTCTCCCTTCCCTCTGCGTTTGGTAGTTTGTCCTAGTTTGCTTGTATTTTGGGGTCAATATATTTTGTCACTCAGTATTGTTGTGTATGTTGTCCTTTGTGAGTTTTGTTTGTTTCACTATATGATTTGTTCTGTTTTTAATAGGGAGATTCAATAACTTCACTACTGTCATCTTTAGAGAATTCCTCTACTCCTTCTTGAGATGAGGAAATGAGTGCTATAACTCATAGTTGACAGATATGTGAGATTATTGACAGACATGACATCTCTTGGAAGAGCTGAGCTTTAGGGCTATGCTTTTGAAGTTCCCAGATATTCTGAGGAAGAACCCTTATTGTGATTTTGAATTTATGTGTGCATGACTCATTCAGACCAACTATTTCGTTGAGATTCACATAATTGCAATATTGTAGAGGGACTTTAGGATCTGACAGATATGGATTCAAATTGCATATCTGCAATTATCATTGTTTTTATATCATTAATTCATTTCTTTGCAATTTCCCTATCCAAATCATGGAAATACTACTACTATCACCACCACCATTAATTGCCTGCTAGGGTCATTAGGACTAAAGTATGTCAGATATTTAGAGTTAATGTAATAAATTAATGTTTATAGTTTTTTTTTTAGTTATTTTTGTTTTTGTGTTTGTTTTCTTTTGCTGTAGGGCATGTGTGCTCACTAGAGAGAGAGAGAGAGAGAGAGAGAAGATAGAAAAGTGAGAAATCACCCTCCAATGTATATAGCTACACTACAGTCCCTTTTTCTCCATTCTCCTCTCAGGATTTTGGGCATGAACACATACACGCCCACTGGCATGATTTTTCAAGGCTCTGAGTCTGGGACTTGAACCATGTAGTCAACCATATGGAATCCCACACCTTAACCTTCATACCACCTGCTGGCCCAAATGTTTATAATCTTTTGATTTGATACTATCCTAATGCCTAGACATATAATAAGGTGACAGTGTAGAATACAGTTGAAAATGTAATATTTTACATAAAGAGCTTTGCTGTGGAATTTTAGAAAGAATAGCAACTGGGACCAGCAGATGGTATAATGATTGCATCTTTGGGCTCCCACACAGCTGACCCCAGTTTGAGTCCCTGATCTGGCAGCTTGAAACTCACACCAGACACATGTGTGTGTATCCCAAAATCCTGAGGAGACTGGAGAAGGGACTACAGCATGGCCATCCCACCCTGGAGGGGTGATTTCTCGATTTCTGTCTCTCTGTCTCTTTCTCTCTGGTGAGTACACATGCCCTATAACAAAAATCTCTCTCTCTCTAAAAAAAAAGAAAAAAAGAAAGAATAGCAACTAAATCTGTTCAAAATAATTTCATGAGTATATCAATTTGAAAGTGTGTCCTATCAGGAATTGTATTTGAATTTGGTATTGAGGATAATCTATCGGTGTTGCCGATACCACTTCCCCAGCAAGCAGTAGAGGCAACATGCTGCGGAAAACATTGCTTTTGCCTTTCTATTTGGGTAGAATGTGACTTGAGTCCTGCCTTCACCATTTACTCGAAGTTTGGTGTGTTATGCCCACAGTGAAAGTTTCCTCTTCTAGCTGTGAGCTGGCACGCCATCAAATTTAATGTTAACTGAGCACGTACTGACTGGTGCAAACTGCATCCACACTGGACGTGCACCAGTGAACTAGAGAGTCTCAGCCTCCTGAAACTTCTATTTCAAGATGAAAGGCAAACAAATTTGCCACTCCCACAGAGAGCAATCCGTGCTGCAAAACGGAACACACCTGGCATTGCAGGAGATGCTGCTTACCCCAGATTGGGGTTCGGGAAATGCGTTCTGCAGAAAACGGTCTCTTCATGGGTAGCTGAGGATGTGTAGGAATTCCCAAGACAAGACGAAGGCAGATCAAAAGGCATGTGCACAGTCTTGGAAACACGCGCAAGCCGTGCCTGTGAGGATCTGAATGGAAGGCCTAATGCAGAGAGCAGGGTCTCCTTTTCTCCCATGCACCTTTCCTATGTTATGATTTACACATTCTGAACTAGAGAAAGAATCCTCTCGTCTCTCCCTCTCAGCTGTGTTCCATGATGATGCCTCTTGCTGCACAGCTCCTCATCCCTTAGGCCTTAGCTTGCCAACGTCCCCTGGGGAGAGGCAGTCCTTGAATCTCTACCCAGCTGAGATGAATCTTCACCTCCCCCCCCCTTGGAGCTATTCACTTTACTTGTAATTTCCTAGTGCCTGTCTTCCCCATGGTTGTAAGCAGCACGATGGTGAAAGACTACACACAGTCAGTCTACATTTTTCACAGACTCTGGGAATTTGCCTACTTCCCAAAATGTATTTGTAAACCCCATGTCACTGCTCACAGCGCTTTGAGCCTTCACAGTGGTTCTCGGACACTTCCGGAGGTGAAATTTTTGAGTTATCCAGCGTGCATGTTTCCAGTTGGATCGAAGAAGGTGGTGCTTTGCCTCTTGTTTCGGCTCTTATGCTGTCAACACGTGTCCATTTTGCAGTCTATTAGTGCCGCATTTTTCACATTTTTATGCTTTTTGTTGACTACTTCGGTGTTTAAAACAGCCTCTGGGCGTAGTGCTGAAGTGCTGCCCAGGGTTCCTAGGTGCAAGAGGGCTGCGATGTGCCTTATGGAGAAAATGCCTGTGTTGGTCTAGCCATGGTGGTGCCGAGTAGGGGTGGTGGTTCCAAATGAGGGTGCTGCTGCGTAAGGCTGGAGACCATGTGGGAAGACTCTGGGTTTGCTCCTGAGTCCACCTAAACATCCCAGGTATGCCTGCAGCTGTGCCCATGATGGTGGCTGGCTGCGGGGTTTGGGGGGAAGATCCTGGTGTGAAGACTCTGTGAAGGGATGGTGCCCTCCCCAAGGAATGAAATAAGTAGAAAAGTAAATAGGAAAATACATGTGTTAGACAAGCCTCATTGCATGAGATTATAGTGCTGTTGGCCATGAATTCAATGTTAATTGGTTAAAAATCCATATGAAAGAAGGTGTCTTTAAATGGAAATATACATCAAATAAGGTATGTATCAGTTGACCTGAGGCTGGCAGGATCCTACCTCTGCAATTCCCCTAAGAGCAATGTTCAGCATTACAAATAACTAATGCAAGTAATAAAATGAAGTATTTTGTTAACGTCTGTGCCCTGAGTAGCTACAACAATGACTCTTGCATAATGTGAGTAAATATTGGTTGAAGCTGAATTTTGTGTGTTATGTATTTATTTACATGTATACACATGTATACACATGTATGCACTGCACAGGCATACAGAGAGATTACATAACATGGAATGAAGTTGAACTTGTTTTCCATGCCAAAGGTATATTTCCCAATCTTGTTATTACTTTCCATCTTTGAAAAAAGCCTAACTACAGGTTTGGTTTTTGTACCATCTTTATTTTTATCGTTATCTAGGATGCTGGAGAGATGGTTCGTTCCTTCGTTGGTGGTTTGGAACTTGTTGTCAATTTGCTGAAATCAGATAACAAAGAAGTTCTGGCGAGCGTATGTGCTGCTATTACCAATATAGCAAAAGATCAGGAAAATTTAGCTGTTATTACAGACCATGGAGTTGTCCCTCTATTATCCAAGCTGGCAAATACTGTAAGTAACGCGTCTTTCTGTTTTCGGTGCCTATTGCCATAAGATGCCATGGTGTGATGGCAAAAGCAGTGAGTGTACATTCCAGAGACTTTGATTCAAGTCCAATATCCACTGCTTACGAGGTCTGAGATTTGGGTCAGTCCGTTTCATTTCTCTGAAACGAGCATGTGTGAAAGTGGACTTCCAACCATAAGATGTTACTATGTGAGCTCCTTGTAAAATAGAGGCACTTTTTCCTTTGTTACTGGCAAGTAAAGTGGCGAATGTGAGTGCTATTATGTAAGTGTTAGCTATCTTCACCATCACCATCATTGTTATGATGCTATGAGAGCTGTTCTTGCCAACATTAGAAGTTAAATGCACCTCCCCTGGCTCAGCAAGCTTGGATGGATGACATTCTTGAGCTTGGCGACGCTGGCAATCACTGTATTGTTTACTTAGAGCTGTGCCAGAGAGAATAAGCAGCCAGGAGAGACAATGACTTCACCATGATGTGAGGTATGTGAGCCGAGCTCCGACTACCACTTGGCAGAAAAGTCATAGCGCTGAAGTTCAAACATTGGAAGCACTCCTGGTCTAGAAGACTTCGAGTTCCTAAGAGATCTGCCAGATTCAGTTAAGGACACCAGCTTGTTGCTTGAATCAAGGCAACAGTGTGATTAATAAACAGAAAACCAGATCCTGGTCAGTTCCGTCGTACCTGTGTGAGGCAGTTACACACAAAATGCAGGACACAGTCTGCAGGCAGAATGCAGAAAGGAGAGTGAGACCTACAACCTGCCAGTGTGTTCGCGGCAGGGTCTCCTCCCCCTGGGAACCAAGATGTGGTATCGCTGATGCAGTATTCCTAGGGTGAAGACGTAGAACCCACTTATCCTAGTTAAGTAAGCATTCTTTTCTCAATAGCCTACATCCACCTAGAATGTTGGTCCCTTGGTGACCATCCGTCATACCAGTTCCTTGAAGACACCATAAGCAGCCAGCTAGGCTCATTTGCATCTTAGTGGGCCATAAACAAAAGCACATGAAGGAGATCGCACTGGACCCTGGTAACACAAAATTTGTTTTCCTTCGTGCAGAATAATGACAAACTGCGGCGCCATCTGGCAGAAGCTATTTCACGGTGCTGTATGTGGGGCCGAAACAGAGTGGCCTTTGGCGAGCACAAAGCAGTGGCTCCGTTAGTGCGCTACCTGAAGTCTAACGACACCAACGTGCATCGGGCCACAGCTCAGGCCTTGTATCAGCTCTCTGAAGACGCCGATAACTGCATCACCATGCACGAGAACGGTGCAGTAAAGGTACGGTTGAACAGCTGTGTAGTTTAGTCCAAGGCTGGTAGACGTAGGCTGGAAAGAGACTTCCTCATGTTCAGGTTGTCCTCGAGGGAGTATTTGGAGACACAGAACTGCCTCCCTGTCGGGTGTGGCTGCATTCCAGCCATGTGTTTTTGTGGTTTGTGTTGCAGAAAAAAGGTATGGAGACTGAAGTTTTCTAAATCAAAGGCTATAAATGTATCTACGGAAATAAGTGATTATTTCATAATTTGAAGTCGGTGAAAGAAAAATGCAGCACAGGAATATCAGTAATATTCATTATTCTATTTTGATAGAGTATTTACTTAGCCCATTACAAAAAAGCATATCCAGGAGCCACCAGGTGGCATGATAGTTAAGGGCGCTGGACTCCCACATGGCTGACCTTAGTTCAGGTCCCAAACCCGGTAGCTTGCTTTCTCATTCCCCTCCTCCTCCCCGTCTCTTTTTCT